GGATCATCCTGTTTGTCTGGCACGGGCTTCTCCATTTCTGCCGAATGCTTTTTTATTAAGTTACCTGAGTAGATAGGAGCAGAGGAGAGTATCAGGGGCTGCACTGAAGTGGAGAAAGAGCTGGGGACACCTGGGGGGCTCAGTCAGTTAAGCAGGCGACTTCGGCTCAGGGCATGATCTCGTGGTTCATGAGTTCGAGCCCTGTGTCGGCCTCTGTGCTGACAGCTCAGAGCCTGGAGCCTGCTTTGGATTCTGTGTCTCCCTCTCTCTCTCTGCCCCTCCCTCACTCGTGCTCTGTCGTTCTCTCTCTCTCTCAAAAATAAACAAACGTTAAAAAAATTTTTTTTTAAAAAGAGGATACGTTTTACAGAAGTAGGGATCCAGAGATGGCTAACAGAACATACAACAATGGTTAATCGTAAGGGACATACAAATTGAAACCACACTTCAATGTTACTGTACGATCACCAGAATGGGCAAAAAGTTAACAATCGACAAAAGTTCGCAAAGATGAGGCTTAAAAGGAAGGTGTAAATACTGCTGGTGGTAGTGAAATCGGTACAGTCGCTTTGGGAAACCTTCTGGGAGTAGCTCCTAAATCTAAACACGACGCATCTGCAGGTGGAGGCCTGTGGCCTGGCATCGCGCTCCTGGCACACCCACACCCGCCAGAGCCACAGACAGGGGTGTCCGCGGCCGCCGCTCTGGCCATAACAACCCAACCGTCCACAAAGAAATCATGCCATTAAGAACTACAACAGAGGGGCGCCTGGGTGGCTCAGTCGGTTGAGCGTCCGACTTCGGCCCAGGTCATGATCTCGCGGTCCGTGAGTTAGAGCCTCGCGTCGGGCTCTGGGCTGATGGCTCAGAGCCTGGAGCCTGTTTCGGATTCTGTGTCTCCCTCTTTCTCTGACCCTCCCCTGTTCACGCTCGCGCTCTGTCTCAAAAATAAAAATAAAAAAATTAAAAAAAAAAAAGAACTACAACGGAATGCCACACAGCAATGAGAACGAATGAATGAGTTGCCATGTGACATGGACGGATCCCACAAGGTAATGGAGAAAGAAACAAGACGCAAAAAAGCAGAAGCTAAAAGCAGATAAAATGAATCTGTGGTGTCAGAAGTGAGCAAGATGGTTACCACGGGGGGTCGGCGCAGGCAGAAGGGGTAGCAGGGTGGTTCTACGGCTGCCATCTCTTGACCTCAGGGCTGATACACTCGTGTTTGTTTGTTTTCAATACAATGGCCGAAAGGGGCATCGGTTCAACCGGGCTTCGAGAGGCACAGGTATTTTGAGCAGTTTCTCCTTAGAGGGTAGCGTCTGGTGAAGCGTGTCTGTGAGTGGCCCCCTCCACAGAGATTTATATACAGCGGAGCAGCCTCCACTCCATCCCCACGCATATCCACATCCACGCCACCCCACGCCGAGGACGGCCAGGGCTCACGGGCGCCCACCGCGTCCAAAGCGAAGCTCTGCCACTCAACTGCCCGGATTTCTGCGCTCCTGTTCCACTCCACCCCTCGGGAGCTTCGCCTCCACCTTATGCCCTGATTATCAAAACCAGAGCCTGCTTGCTCTCTTCCAAATCGACCTCTCCCCGCCCCTGGGGTGTAAGGAATGTTAGGACAGAGCGGCTCAGGATCCCTGCCAACAACCCCCC